GCTACTCAAACCAAGCTGCACATATCTGAGGTTTCAGACTCAAGCTCTTGTTCAGAGAATCCAGCCTACTCTCTCAGTCCTGTCCCATCCAACAGATAACCTGAACACTAGCCACAGAAATTATAATTTCTGGTTTTGCTCATGCCCCACACCACTGCATAGGCAATTTAAGGATTCTAATAAGAAAGAATATGTGGGTTTTCCAAATGCAGACAAAACCTTTAACATAATTTAATTAAATTTAAAAAGGGTATTTCCTGCATGGGACCATGTTCAACCTCCATGTGCTTCTCTAGATCATAAGCTTCCCAGTTTGTGCTTGTAGTATTACATAATCCATGTAAAAACTTAAGTGGAGAAGGAAGCACTACTCTTTACCAATGACCTTCCCAAAAACCAACAATACAATGAAATTGAAGTCCCAGGCTCTATTTCAAGCTCTCAAGCACTGTACATTGTTAACAGATCCTTCTGCTCCAACACTTTGAGTCTATCATCCTAATCAAGTCTACTGGAAGGTCCAAGTCCTGAAACAGGCAGCTGTTTAACAATTAACCTAATAACAAAGACCACCACTCTGCTCACCCCTAAAATCTTCCTTTTTGAAGAAAATGCATTACAAGGACACATCTTGTCAGACAAGCACCAGGTATGTTTTCAAACAAGTGGAATTCCTTCCTAATTCAATAACCAATTCATCTGTCATAAACACAGCGGCAATTCAGAATAAAGATGTCTACTGACAACCATCTAACAGAGCTGGGAAGTTCCATCCTTCTATGTTAATTTCTACATCAGAACCAAAGCACTCTCTACCAACACAGAAGAGCATTACTAAGGCTCAAGTAACACATTTCATCTGTGCTTTACTTCAGCTCTAAATGTGAAGTTCTCTAGAAGACTAACAATTCATTCTGAAAACAATACATTAAATTACAGTACTTTATCTTTTCCACTACATAAGTTACTATTATTATTAGTTTTGCAATTACCATCTGTTGGAGAATTAGCCTCTGTTCTAACTTTTGATTTTTCAAGATCTTCTTTGTATTCTTTCTTCAACTGTTTTACAATCTTTTTGCTGTAACTTGATTTCTTCACTTTGAAAACTTCTTCTGTTTCTTTAAAAGAGAAATTGGATAACGTTACATCAGATCTGTCAAGCAGATGTTATTTATCAAATCTCTAAATTTTGTACCTGGAACTTCACAAATGCCACTAACAAACATTGTAGGGTTCTTTCACAGTCTATAGTGATAGTCTAATTCTATGCCTTCGGTACTTCCATCAAGATTTCAAATCATGAGTTTCAGAAACCAAGTTTCAGTGATTTCAAGAGAATTCCTTCTAAGACGACTCAAAACTATAGGAACTGTTGGACAACAGGCAGAGAGTTCGAGGTGACCCATGAGCACCAGCCACATCATATTAAAACAACCTCGACACAAGCCACGGGACAGATGCTCCTCAGCTAACACTGCTGGCTCCAGGGGGAGGCTACTGCTGCACTTACTCCCCCACAAACCTGCGGGCCACGCAGGTGCAGTGAACGCAGCACAAGCGATGCACCAGCAGCACAGAAGCAATGTGAAGCCCTATACCGCACCGAGCCCTCGGGGAGCCTGCAGGCCCCGCAGGAGCCGAGCCGAGCCGGGCCGGGCCGGGGAAGGCGCGGCTGCACTGAGCCGGGCATCCCTGGCCCCCCGCACGGTGCCCTCAGGGCCCGCCCTCCCTTATGTGATCCCGCATCACCCCAGGCCACACGGGGGTCTGCCCTAAAAAATAAATACGGATCCCGGCTCGCTTGGAGGGACGGGGGAGGCCCAATGCAGGCTGAGCAGCTCCGGGTTCCTTTCCCGCAAGAAGCGACCCAAAAGCCGGGCAACGAGGCGCCTCACCCTCCTCCTCGTCCTGGAAGCTGAGCAGACTGGCCCTCGGCACCTCTTTGTTCTCCCGCGACTTCTTCTTTTCCTTGGGGCGCCCGGCCACCGGCAGCCCATTGCCCTGCTGGGGCTGCGGCGGCGGCGCCGGGGGCCGCAGCACAGCGGGCGCCGGCAGAGCCCCCAGGCCCGCTCGGTCGCCTCCCATCAAGCCCAGCCCCAGGCCGAGAGCCGCTCCGTAGCTCGCGGCGCAGGCGAAGGCCGCGGGGCTGCCGGGCAGGGCGAGGGGCACGCAGCCGGCGGGCAGCGGCAGGAGCCCAGCGCCCGACGCCAGCGGCACGGAGGCGTCGCTGGGCCCTTCCCCCGCCGTCCCGGCCGCCGGCGCCGGTTCCTGAGGCGGCTCCTCGTCGCGCTCCTCATCCTCCTCTTCCGAGTCGTTCCGCTTCCGCACATTCACCCTCCGCGCCTTGCGGAACATCCCGCCAGGCCCCCGCCGGCCGCCCCGCCAGGCCCCGGTGCCGCCCGCTCCGGCCGCCCCGCGCTGCGGCCCAGGCCCGGCCCCGCGAGCATGGCACCGCCGCCCGCAGCGCCCCCTGCCGCCGGCTCCACCAGCGGCGGGCGGGGAGAGCGGCACTGCGCCTGCGCGGCGGGCAGCGCGCGGAGCGGCGGCTCGAGCGGCCCGCCCCGCCCCCGCTGCGCCCTCACGTCCGGCGCCATCTTGTGCCTGGAGAGCGGCGCGACCCGGGCGGGAATGGGGGGGGGACGGGAAAGGGGAGAGGAGGGTGACAGAAGTATAAAGTGACTTATACTAAATGTGAAAAAGGCGTATTTTTTTATTGGTTTTTTGCAAATATTAAAATGAATATTGTATGGTTGTGTTAGAAAGTTATGCTGTATTAATTCTCTTAAGTAGCGTGTTAAATATAGTTTTAGGTTATAACAAAATGTTAAAATAGAAACTATGCTACGTAAGATACTTTTTTTCTAACGAAAGGACTCGCACCGAGATAGCAGCCATAGGACACCTAAATCTTTCAGAGAAAAAGAATTTATTGCTCTCTTATCAGAAGAAACGAACTTCTTCCCGCCTCACTCAGTCAGGACGACGCCGTCAAGATTCAGAGGAAGAAGTTGACATGACCAGACAGAATCCTGTGTTTGAATGGAATTTATGCATCATGTATGAGGTGTATGAATATGCAACAGGCTGTTGTTTTTAAGGGTTAATCCTCTGTTAACGGGTGTCCTTTTTCGGGCTTATTTTGCCCAGAAAAAGGTACCCAGACTGTCCGTAACTCTTTGTTTGTATTGTCTCATATTGTCCTAATCCAAATTTTCCAAATTATTACTCTAATTATATGTATATTTTTATAACCATTTTATCATCATTAAACTTTTTAAAAACAAGTGATTGGCATTTTTCGCATTAAAGAAAAGGTTCATCATGTGAGATGAGTTTGTTGTATAAAATTTGTTTTATTATACCAGACAGAGTGCGTTTTGGAGACATTGCTCTGGAAAAATTCTGCAAGCTTCTAATGCAGTACTTCTAAAGCCGTATAAAATAGAATTGGTAACAGGTTCGTGATATCTGCTGGGGCAGAATAGGGTGGTTGGGAAGCTCACCACAATATCAGAGCTGTGGATTTCTGTAGTTGGGGATTTTTTGCTCTTTCCAGAAAAAAATCCTTCTGTGCTTACTTGGGCACTGGAATAAAATCTCTTTGGCCTGAGCCTTATTCAGAACACTAGAGTGGCAAAAGTAACTAGAAATTTAATTTGCTCTGTAAGAAAGCCCATGGATTTATTAACCTCATTTCTTCCCAACAAGGCCAGAATACATACATCCTCAGCTACTGCTGCATGTGTGAATTTTTGGACACCACTGTCATGATAATGGGGAATTACTGTGATTTCAGCACATTTTTTTACCAGAGGGCAGCAGATCTTTGCTGAAGATCATTTAGGTTAATTTTTCCAGATTTTGGAGAAAGCCTTGCTAACATATAGGAACCAACATACTTGTGTTTATTGGCTTTTTTTTTTTAAACACAGCACTCTCCTATGTAGGATTGGTGAGTTGCTAGTTTGTAAAAGCAAGGTTAGCTCTCTTGCAGAGACAGCTGGATAAAGGCAGATGACATGAATTATTTGCCTGTGTCTGTTACAGACACTCATGAGAGGTATCACTGGAAATATTTGTAATTTGGAGAAAAAGGCTTATGGTTTGTTGCCAAGGTGCTGACAAAGGAAACGATGTCTTTACAACAACTGATTCAATTGTTCTCTGGCTGAGTTAAATGGAGTTTGGTACCCAGCTTGCAAACACCAGTGTGCTTAAATCTATTTGCAATTGCAAATAGACTCCATTACTTCCACTGTTATCACATTGCTGATTTCAGTGGGAAAGCTCACAGTAATGGATGTTGGACATGTATTTAAGTCTTCTGAAAAATTAAATTTTGCTTCCTAGCAAAACTGCTCCATCATTGATTACAGTTACATCAATATGACTATTTAAAATAGAAATCTTCACTGGTTCCTCAGAATCTTGATAGCCATTCCCCTAAGTGCACAGAGAATCATGGAATTCCTGATTGGTTTGGGTTGCAAGGGCCCTTAAAGACCACCCAGTTCAATCCCCCTGCCATGGGCAAGGACACCTTCCATTAGAGCAGGTTGCTCCAAACTCCATCCAGCCTGGCCTTGGGCACTCACAGGGATGGGGCAGCCACAGCTTCTCTGGACAGAAGTTTTCATATATTTTTTCTCATTGGCTTGGAATCTTCTGCAATGGGAGCTACATGGATATGCCTTTTTCGTCAAGGCAAAACCTGAAAACAAAATTTATCTGCAGATTTTAATTGTCAACCTAGAATATATGAACAAAAAAATAAAAATAACAATGCTTTGGAAAACAGCTGTTTCACATTTATTTTGTTCTTTAAGAAAAACTTTGCTGAATTAATCTGATGAGTCTCTTACTTCAAACACCTCCTTGTGGAATTCTCTCACAGTCCCCTAACACTACATCCTCCTGGACAAACCAGACGAACTTAAAGGCATCCCATCACTCTTAGCAGCTTCCCATGCCTCTCACTACTGACTGTGTTAAGTAACTCAGTAAATGAATGTTACAACATAGCTTTCATTGTCTGAAGTTGAGAAAACATCAGAGTACAGCAGGCTGGGAAAGTGCTTAATAATACTAGAGACATTTTCCACACTGCATGACTTCAGCAATGAATATCCATTGAAAAGTGAGAGATATCCAGAAAAAAAAATATGTGCAAGCACTTGCCTGTCTTTGTTGGGCACCTCAAGTAAGTCTTCTTTGTCATTGATGCTGCTACTGGAGATAGGTACGCTCTGCTCTGGAAACTGTCCCTTGACCTTGTTTACATGGAGCTTTCGAAGTCCCCAAACGCCCAAATATTCCACTGGGAGAGGAGTGGTGCTACAGAAGGACAGCTTCAAATCCCTGTAAGTCTCTGTCCAAAGTTTCTCTCATCTGCCTCACGATCATTGTGAAAAAGGACAGAAACTGGGACCACTGAGAAAGACCCTGTTTGGAATCCTGGTCTTGTTGGAGATGGTTGCTTGCCAAGATCCTGAGGCCTGAGCGGAGCTTCTGGCCTGCCAAGCTATTGTTTTCAGGTGTGTTTGCTATACGCAACACTGAGCCCAGTGAAAGGAGAAGGGGCATTCTGCCCTTTCTTCACCTGCGCCCGCTCTTCACAACAATAGCCCTGGAATTTCCCCAGCTGTCAGCTTGGCTGGACTTTTCTGAGGTAGCCTTTGGTGGTGCCCACAGAAGACCCTTCATCTGTTTTACAACCACCGTGACGGATGGACTGAGATGGGAGAAGCCTCTCCCTCAAGGACTGAGACATGAAACCACTATATGGAAAAGCTCCCCCTCCTCCCAAGGACTGAGACTGAAACCCCTAACCCGGGGGAGGTGTGTGGGGAAGGCGAGCTGACCAAAGTCAGATGGATGCCTGCAGTTGTGACCATTGGACCAAGAAGACAATGGTTCTCGCCTACTGCTGAGAATATGGACTGTTTGTATCCTTCTTCAATGCCTTCTTTTTTTTTTCCATCAGCAATTACAATAGACTATTCTTTATTACATTTGATTAGATTTCAATACTTGTCCCCTTACCCCATCAAAACAGGACTATAACAGAAGCTTGAGTTGACCAGTATCTCCAAGATCTCCCCCGACATGACCAGATGAACTCTGTTAGCTGGACTTCGAAGGACTTCATCATTCTACATTTGGGAGTTATGTAGCTTCCTTTCTCTCCCTCCCTCTCTTTTCCCTATTTTTTCCTTTTTCCCCAATTCCTCCCCAACACATTTTGCTGTAGCCATTCAATAAAGGTGCATTTGTTTTTGATTATTACTGCAAATCCCCTTACCATGTCAGTATTTGCACTCTGAGATCAATTAACTAACCATTATGAAACCTGTTTGTAAGGACGGATCGTGACAATCCCACACCTCAGCTTGTGAAGTTGAGGACCATCTCCAGCACAGAGAGGTGTGTGTGAACCAGATGGTCAGGTGGCTGTTGTATTTTTTTCCATGGTATTTTTTTCCATGGTAGAAAGCAGCACTGTTTTGCAGTTGCACACCAAGTTTGCCAGGCAGTAATTGCAGTCACGGGTAGGCACGGAACAGCTGCAGTTGTGATTTGTGTTTTCCTTAGTGAAAATTAGCGTGTGGTTCTTCTGACTTCTCACAAAACTGATGTGTATGCCAAGGAATCCAGCCAAAATGAGAGCCAGACAAATGGAGAAAGCAGGGTAGGCTATTGGCTTCCTTAGCATTGGTGCCAAGCTGCCAATTGTCTCCTCCTTTTACTGATTTAGACCACTTAGCTTTACCTAGTGAGGAAAAGCAATTTCTTTATAATACTAAAGATCTCTCAATGGTTAATATTACTTTGCTTTTCCACTCATTATCTGTCACATCTATTTAGAGCCATTTCTCAGTTCTGCAGTAAGGAGAAAGCACAACTACACTGATTTAGAAAACAGATTATGACTAAAGTTTGGGATTCTTTTTTCATTCTTCTTTTGTTCTAAATTTTCATCTGCTGTTTCATCTGTTGTTTCATCTGCTTATAAGATAGCTTGGACACATTCTTTTCCATGGCAGCTTTTTGGCCTGGCCTGTGCAGAGGTAAGGACAGGACCAGGAGTTGTGCAGGACAATTCCTGCTTGTTTCTCCTTTCTGCTTTCTTTGCTTCCAACCAGACAGGGGTGACAAAGGACCCTGTTCTCCACTTCCCTGAGTGAGGCAGTCTGAGAAGACCTGGAAGTGATAGTTTTGTTTTACACCTGAATTGCTAAGTAACATTGTGATAACCTTTCCCTTAAACTGGTGTGGGATATACTGGGAGAAGGGAGGGAGGGAGGGAGGGAGGGAGGGCAGTTAAGGGCAGAAGTGTTGTTGGGCACAGCAAATATCCTTCTGAGCTATGAGAAATGCTGATAAAACCTGATTTTGATCCATGTCAAGCTACATCTGCTCCAGCCTTAGTCTGTAAGTTTTGAGGACCAGGGACCACCTCTCATTCTGTCTTGCACAACAACTACAATAGGATAGATCCAGGCTCTGTCAGTTGCTCTGCCTCCACTTAATTTACTCTTGCAAAGCAAAATAGCAGCTCCACACATACCTATGACAATGGAGCAAGTTCCCATCCCAGGTATGGGCCACCTCAAATAGCTGGGAGCATGTTTGGTGGGATTCTTGGATTCTCAGTTGCCAGCCCTTTGGTTCTCAGACTGGAGTTGAATTTTACCAGGAGCATCTGTGTTTTCCTGACATATTATTATATGATGGTACAGCCAATGAAGTACAGTGCAGTTTCTTAACAGAAATTATAAAAATGTTGGAAAGTTTGTCTAATTTGATGTAACTGATTTGAAGCACCAAGAAGCATTAGAGACAAATTTTGATCAAAGATGACAGGTTCTAGTGAAAGCAGCAGTAGAGCACATGATGGATATAGAATTTGGTCCTTATAATGTAAAAAGATTGATTCACATCCATAATGTTTGTTTGCAGCACTTCAGAAAACATGGCAATACACCTAGTTTTTTAGACTTCTGTTATTAATATTCTTGTTCCTGTTTGTCCTATTCCAGTAAAGATAAGTAAACAGTAAACTGTTCTTATCTCAATCCATGAGCTTTGCTTTTTGTGCCTCCAGTTGGAGGTGGGGGAAAGGGAGCATGGGAGGCTTTTTCAGTGGGAGTACTGAAGTGGAGAATACCATTCCCAAACCATGACAAAAGGATGCAGATATTTAAGTTTTAAAATCAAATATTTAATCTATGTTGTGGAACATACCAGAAATTCCAGTCCAGCTGCTGGCTGATGTTTAACTTCAAAGGTCAGACTCACACAAGCTGTAGCAGTATTATTATTGCTAGAAATGTTTCCACTAAGCATTTAATCACAATGAAAATCTGGAAATCCTATTTCTAGACCTCCACACTGTTCATTTTCTCAATCCTTAACAGTGGCTAACAGTTGTGATAGACCAGAAATCTGTAATGTCAACAGTTTCACAGCTAAATTAAATTCTTTGGATTTTTCTGTGTTGGAGGCACTATTTGCAAAAAATCCTAGACAATGTTGACAACATGACTTTGGACTAGGTAAAAGAGATTCAAACTCCCACCTGTGTCAAAAGGAGTGATACTGCTTTTTCCACTTAACATTTGAGGGATTAATATTCATCAAACATTAGACTAAAATGCTTTGATACATCCTCATTAGTTTTAACTCTTTTTTCTCAGTACCTGAAGAGTGGAGAACCTTTAAAGTTCTCTACTGGTTTGCAGCCAACCAATCAAGTTTAGCTTAGCTGATAACATTTGGGCTCCATCAATCTGAATCCAAACAAAAGTCTAAATTCTGGCATTCCAGGAAATTTAAACTCCAGAAATACATCTGTTCTTCTCTGTTCCCTGCAAATCAGAAACATTTCTATCCAGTTCTCAGGATTTAGTTTCTGTGTGGCTTTGGTGAGGGATATGCAAGAAGTTAAATATATATTCAGAGTTGTACATCTGTGAAGTGTCAAAGTCACCTGCAATGCATCTTTTCTTAAGCTAACAACTATCTGCAGAAAAATATGCATTATATGGGTCTTAATCAAACCACATTGCTGTTTCCATTGCTTAAGACTTGAAAATTATTGCTTTAATTTTTAGGAATGGGAGAACTGCCTTCAGCAAGGCTCTTGGAGATACACAGAGCCCTTTTTTGTAATATTACCATTAAGATGAAATAAAATATGGAATGATTTTCTTGCCTGTTGTAGTTCTGTTCTCCATCATCTCCAAAATTTAAAAATGAAGTATTTCAGAAAACTGGAGAATATGGTGTGTATGGTGCATCTTTCCACCATGGTCGTTCTCTGAGCATTACCCACTTCCCTTAACAGAGATAATTTATCTCTTCAACTCACCAAAATAGTTTTAGGCATTACCTATAGAAATGCAAAGAATGCAGCAGATTATGCTAAATGTCAAGATTTTCTATGCAGTTTTCTCAGAAAACTGGTGGGTATACTTTCTTCTCTTCCTTAATTTTTCAGTAAAATTTAGCTAGACTTCCAGTATGATCAGTACAACCATTCAAAGTCCCATCCACCTGAAACAATGGATTTTACAACTGGCTTCCATAAGCTATTTGACATGTCTTTATGTAATGCAGCAGGTATAGAAGTTCTGTAAAAATCATAGAAGCCTTTTTCAGCTTTCTAGTTTATCTTAGAAGACTTTTGAACTCAGGAACTCAGGAAACAAGAATAGGATTTCAAATCTGAACTTGGCAAATTATCTGGATGCTCTTCACTCACTGATAGATAACCAAAACCTACCTGCTTTTATGCATCTATTCTGATGAAAATAATAACTCCTTTGTCTACAGAAGCTCAAGCTAAGAGGGAGCTGGTTTTTATTTTATTTCTATATAATTGTCCAAGACAGCTGGTTTAGACCATTATTTTGTCCAACCTTATACCCAGTGTTCATCAATGCTTGAAAGTGGCTGGAGTAATAAAATTGGTGGCACATTTGCACACCAAAAGTGATTGAAAACTGGATCCCAGAAGCTGCCTGCAGCCTGCAGTGCTGGCCTGGGAGCGGTAAGGCCACTGCTGCTTTGCAGCTGGAATCTCTGCAATAGAGAGGGGAGAAGGGAAGCTGCATCCTCTGCTTAGCAACAAGCAAAAATACCAATTATTTTAGGGAAATACTTACTTCTGGTAGCAAAAACCTGCTTCTGAAAAAAACTATTTTGAGTGATCTAAATGTAGTAAATGATTTTTTCATTTTTTGTCCTGAGTGGGGGGCCTCTCAAGCAAAATCAGACTAGATATAAAGAGCAGCAGAAAATTATTTGTTTGATTGTTTCAGCCATGCACAGTTTTAGATGTGTGTCCTCCATCCAGCATGGAAACCCATGGTTTATTACGTGTTATCCCAAAAGTTTTCTAGCACAAGATTCCATCCCTGCTCCTTTTGCTTCACGGGTTTTGACTGCTAAAGGAGATTTTCAGTGTTTATTTAGCAGTAGCATCATTTCAGGGTTTTTTAATCTGCTTTGATAATTCCACTTCTTTCCCCCCTCTAATTGCAGGTCTGTGTATTAAGAAAACTGCAAAAAAGCAATAAAAAGCCTTTGACTATTGTGTGTGAGAATGCTACTGTCACAAGGAAAGTTTATCCTAATCAGTGGAAGTTCCAAGCCTATAAACTTGATAGAAAATTCAGAAAAAAAATAATTAAACCCCTTATTCATCACTTGTGCTAACATATGTCTATCTGAAAGTGGTGTATTAAGCAAAGAGGAGTTTAAATTTTGAGTAATGTACACAGGATGAATAGAAAACCCATCTAATTTAGATTAAAATGGCATTTTAAACTGAGCAGGTGTTAAAATACAGGATTACAGGAAAATGCAATGAGTCAGTCCCTGAATAAACCTAATCTGACTAACTACATAATCTGATCAGAAAGCCCTAGGGATACCATGGTCTTAAGGAAAACAAAATGCTGGATTTGCTGGTTTTACTCCACGGGAATTTTAGGAATTCCCTAAGTGGGCTGATGTCTGAGAGGAATTTTGTTTTCAGTCTCTTTGCTTAAACAAATACTCTACTTATTTAGTTCGTCCATAAATAAATTGAGGCAAATAAGTTTGTGATCAAAGCTGAAGTTCTACAGCCTTTCAGGCTGCAGCATGGTTCATTCTTGTTGTCAATAGCTTGAAAATGATATTTGTGTCTGCTTGTGCAGCTGAAGCCTGGGCTACTGGCATTAGGTTGTAGAGGTGGAGTGCTCAAGGGTAGTGGAACAAATTCCTTCCCAGCAAGATAAAAATGCAAGATAAAATAGGCAATACTGTAGCACTGAACTTGAACAACACTCTGACCCTTGAAATGTTTACTATATGGGTATTTTGATTTTCAGGTGTACACAGACTCCAGGAGAGGCAATTCATGTATAAACACCTCTGTAAAATCCTCAAGCCTGTCTATCCTCTGTAGAGCCTCTGTCCACAGCAGAGGCAAATGTTACAGCAGGAAAGGCTGTGACATGGAACTGCAGGGAGGCTGAATAGCAGGAGAAAACTCAAGGGAAAGGAGGAAACCTTCTCCTCCCAAAGAACTGGGAGTGGTGATATCTCCCTTCTTCCGCCAGATGAAGGTCACAGCCTGGTTATTCCCAACCCTGAGAGAGCAAAAAGGAGACATGTGCAAGAATTTCGTTTTCATGCTGTGTTTCATACATGCAGCTTGCGCTT